ATGCTGGGCAGAGTGGAGGGACAGTGCAGGACGGAAAGACCCTTTATGAGGTGGATTGATTCAGTTACTGGGGTAATCGGGATGGGTGTGTCAGAGACAATGAGATTGGCACAGGATAGAGCAGGGTTTAGGGCTGTTGTACATAGGGTCGCTATGAGTCGCAAACGACTCGATGGCACATAAAAACAACAACAACATATGACTATAAAACAAAGTGATCAATATGAAATTTAGTTATTAAAAATCTATTATTATGGGTTGAAATGGCAGGGAGGGATTGGGCAAGGAGGAAAGTGCAATAATGAATGACTGAATACCCTAAATCTCTCTAAGCTTTCATTAAAATTAATGAAAACAAAACAAAACAAAACAACAAATGACTATCAGAATATCAGATGTTAATAATAGGAGTACTGTGTGTACTGGATAAGGGAGGAGTGTGAAAATTCTTTATTTCTTGCACAATTTTTCTATAAGCATAAAACTTCACAAAAAGTCTGTTTAAAAGATACTTATGTAACTATTCATCACTGAATAACAATATTCCAACCTTTTTTGATTCATAAAATTTCATCAATTTAGTATGAGGACTATTGTTGTTGTTAGGTGCCATTGGGTTGAGTATGACTCTTAGTGACCCTATAAATGACAGAACTGAACCCTGTCCTATCTTGTGTCTATCTCGTCAACACTAGATGAAGACTATTATGACAAAGAAAATAAATATTTATATCACTTTTTTTCCTTTCTTCTAGCAAGATTTCGAATTGTGTCTCTGGATAATGTTTTTAAGCCTGCTGATCAAATGGTAAGTTGCAATTGAAAATATGTAAGTTAGGTAGGTATTTATGCATCTTGTTCTTAAAATTAGTCAGTGAAAATGAAATAGAGCAGTCCAAGTTAATGGTTCTCTCTTCCTAGTGATTTTATGACCGCATTATACCAAAATCTTTCCTTTTCTCTTTTTCTTTCTCTTTCTTTGACTTACAAAACTAAATACTTTTCCCAATTATGTTAGGGAGCTCTGGTGGCCTACTGCCAAGAAAGTACACTGTAATCCCAAAGGCACATGGTTTGAGGCCACTTGCTGCTCTGCAGGAGAAGGATTGGTAATCTCTTCCCATGCAATTAACTGCTTTCGAAAACCTGCTAGAGAGTCAGCTATGGGTAAGTTCCAATTAAATAGTACACACACACAAAAAATTACATTAAGATGTAATTTGCTGAATTCCTACTACCTACAAAGCAGTATTATATTCTGCCTATCTTCCTCCTACTGAACCACCAGTGGTTTCAAACATCTGGAATGTTGTGATCTTTGGACTGACAATGCAACTCCTTACAGACTAGGCCATTACAGCAACTTTTTTTTTTCTATAATTATATTTTATTAATTTTCATAAACATTTACAGAGATTTTGGGCTTCCACTCATTCATTGTTGCAATTACAGCAACTTTTGATAAAGCACTGCTAGTGTTTGCTGCAGAAGATCAAGGATTAAAGCCTTCAACATGGATTATATCTCAACATCAAGAAACCAAATATTTTCACCACTGGGCCAATAGGCAGCATCATGATAGATGGAGAAAAGATTGATGCTGTTAATGATTTCATTTTGCTCACACCCAAAAATCAACACCCTTGGCACCAGTCAGGAAATCAAAATTTGAGGTGCACTGGGAAAATCTGCTGTTAAGGATTTCTTCAGAGTGCTGAAGAACAATGATATCATTCTAGGGACTAAAGTGTACTTGATGCAGGCTATGGTCTTGCTTGCTTTGCATCTGAGAGCTGGACAATGACTAGGAATTACTGAAGAAGAATAAGTGCCTTTGAGTTATGACTGGAGAAGATCGTTGAAATACATCATGGATTGTCAAGAGAACAAACAAAATGCTGAAAAAGTGAAACCAGATTGCTCCTTGGAGGCAAGGACTTTGAAGCTCCAAATCACATACTTTGAGTCTGTTGCCAGAAGAGACCAATTCTTAGAGAAAGACATTATGCTTGGAAGGATAGAGGGTTAATGCAGGAGCAAAAGAGCGGGAATGAAAAAGATTGACACAGTAATTGTGGCAATGAAGTCAAATGTGTCAGAGACAATGTAGTTGGCTTAGGATAGGGCAAGGTTCAGAGCCATTGTATATAAGGTGGCTATGAGTTTAGTTAACTCCAAGACACATAACAACAACAGGCAATGTGAGAGTTAAATAGAGAAGATACTATTCTACTTCCAAAGTAATTTTATTACAATAGAGGGGAAATGCATGAATACTCATAATAAAAAGGAATTTAAAACAATAAGTGAAACATGTAACAGTATCCTCAGCTTTTAAAAGAGTAGCAGACGAGTAAGTCTGCTTATGTAAAGACTACAGTTTTAGAATTCCAAATGAGCTGTTCTACTCTGATCTATTTGGATTGTAGTTAGCAACTCTTGAGTTGATTACTTTTAATTTAAGTCGTGTCCAGGTAAAAACTATTCTATAAGATTTCTAAGACTAGGTATTTAGGGAAACAAATGGGAAGAGAGTACCCTGCTTTCTCTAGAGGAGCCACTGGGGAATTTAAATTTTGAGAGCTGTTCAGCTTTTGGGTTAGCACTACAACTCCCTATGCCTACACCAACAAAGCTCCCTAAATTAAGGATCAGATTAATGAATACACAATTCCATATTGAAATCCTTGAAAGTGGAAATTCAATAGAATGATCTTGTATTTTCTAGAGAATACAGATTTTCTACCTACCTTTGATAGAGTTTAGTCTATTCGTCTCCTTTCTGTCAGTTTTCGTTATATAAATTGAGTGTGAAAATATCAGTGAAAAAATGCTAATAAACAATCAAGAAGACCATAAGGAGTCATGCTCAATGAAACTGGAAAGGAAGATTGCTGCTATGTTGTGAGGCTTTTAAACTATGATTGTGAATCAGCACTTTGTGTTTAGGGAAAAAAGATAAAGTGATAATGTAGTTCAGTATCTCTCAATTTCCTCAGACATTACTTGTGATTTATACTAGGATATAAAGACAGGGAGTATTATTCACCTTAGAGTAAGGAACTTTGCTTTGAAAGATACAGAAGAGCTGTTTCATGGACTTGCAGTACAGGAGTGATAGATATAAATGGAATTAGTGATGATAGTTTAAGATAATGTTTCAAAAGGAAGATTCAATTCTTCTTGGAGGAACCAGAAAACAAACAAAAGACAATGAATCATGACCAAGTGATTAAAACTTCTTTAATACAGGTTTTATTTTATGTATTTTGGAATCAAATATATTAGAACAAGTCTATACAATTGCCATGTCAACTTTTCAGCTAAACCTACATATATAAAGATTTTATTAAGTTTACAGAATTTATGCTGATTGTTTTCTGATTATTTTTTCCCCTATCTCCCAAGTTACCACTTATGCGATTCTCACTTCTAATTCATATCCTTTTGTCACTTTCTCTAGCTATACTACCTCTCCTGGATTTTTGCTTAATTTTAATATCCAGAAAAGACCTAAATTTAATTCCAAAATATTATTTTATTAACCTAAGTCTGAAATAACTTCTTTAGGATGTCAGATATTTCTTTCTCTCAGTTCCAAGTTGAAACTTTGCATATTTCAATGATTGTATCTTCGGTTTAATCAAAGCAGCAAGCATGTCTAATGTTACCCTCTGGCAATCATCTTTGGAGGGTGAAACCATAGGGAAATGCAGTGCTTCTTGAAAATCAAAGAGACCATAATGTCATTACAATCTCATTGTTCATTTTGCCCTTCTGCTTTAACTATTTTTATAGTCAAAGCTAAAGATGGTTAGTCAATTTCCAGAAAATTACTACATTTGCATATGCACAATAGGATTACTGGTGTACTCTTTCAAGTATGGGTCACTGATAAGACAGATCATTTGTACCCAATTATTCTGGGGAGGAGTTTCTGTGGCCCACAAAACTCCATCTGCTTATGTATAAAGATAAAAAATTGATAAGATATTCTTTAAAAAAACAGTGGCAGCTAGATTAAAAAGTTATGTATTCAAAGCAACATATCTAATGTAATTCAGTATAGCATTTTACAAATGTTTCCAATAAATTGCTAGCTTTCTGTGAGAGTTCGAGATTCATGGTAAATTTGACTGCATAAGCAAACATGCTAGTCATGCAACTCTTATCAAATGGATCAAAATATGAAATAAATACCTCCTTTCATCTGTCTAAATCTTACACTTCTTTCTTTCATTGTTCTAGAATTTCTTTGCTAATTCTATCATTCTTTTGTCCTGAGTCACTGTTCTCCACCCCCACAAAACAGTTGCATTTGTATCAGGAAGTTTTAGATCTTTACTCTAACATCTTTTAAGATCCGACTATCTCTACTTTCAGAGGTCCTGGGTATAATCAGGCAGACACAATAGGACCTAAAGAACAGAACAGAGACATGAAAGTTATATTTTCAAGCTTAAGTAGAAATGCATAATATAATGATGCCACTGTTGTAGAATGGGACTGTCCTTGGGGTTGGGGAGAGACTGAGTAAGATGGGTTCAATAATGTATACTGCACTGAAACAGAGGAGGGAGAAAACCGTTTAAAAGAGAGATATAACTAGGTATTTCTGTCATCACAGGAGACTAGAGCGAGGGCTACATGGTGGAGGGGACCTGGGGGAGGGTTTGTAAAACAATGAAAGAATCCTTTCTTTTACTTTTCCATAATTTTTGACTCATGTACTTATAACTTGTTAGTCAAATTTGTGCCTTCTAGGTTGCAACACCCCCATGATACATCTTCAAGGATATGAACATGTACGGCCAAGCACAATCAATAAGAGTGCATCTAAATTCCAAAATCAATCTCCATAATAGTCTATGTGTTTCCTACTGCCAAAGGGGCCCTTTAGAGTAGTGAGAGAAGATCTTCACCCTGAAACCCACAGCATCCCTTTTCAGCAGGAAGTAGCTAAGAGAATACGCCATCCCCTTTTCCTTATGAATCAGGGTGAAGTCTCTCTCAGGAAGGAGTGATAGGGAATGGCAAAGGACACACCGACAAAGGAGATTAATCAGAACTGACTTTGACAAGCACTGTGGCAATTGGACAATTAAAACAGACATTCGGATAGCGGGGAAGAAGAACAAACTGGGGAGGAGGGTAGAGAGAATGGTGCAGCAATGAAGGAATGAAAACCCAAAATCCCTGTAAATGTTCACTAAACTAATAAAATTTAATAAAAAAAAGTAGAAATGCATAATATAAAGTTATAAATTACTAAAGCCAAATCTGTCTGGTATAATACTTGCTTTTGGAGAAAACCAAGTATGAAGGTACACACCTCTCTTAATATTAATGAGGAGATATACCTCCCTTGACATATTAATAAAATAGCTGTCTTCAGTATAAGCTCAATATTTCACCAAAGACATACAATGTTATATGTTTAAAATAGACAGGTGCCCCAATTAAGCTGCTATATTTTTTAGTTCAGAAAATTTTAGACAAAATTGTAAATCTTAGTGTCCTATAGGAGTATGTGTATGTTTGCTTTTTGTCAGTGGATGAAAGCTGCAATTGGAGGAAGCACTTAGAGGCTTTATATAATGGACAAAATGTGCCAGTTTGTAATTTTTAAAAAGTCTAATTAGCCTGTTCATATGAGAAGCTGAATAGTACTCATCCTTGCATCTCACAGCTACTTATGGATAAAAATATCCTTCTGGGAGGATCATTGTGTATCTTTTATCAGCAATAGATCTAGATTTACCTGTTTTGGTTTTTTTTTAATGCACTACACTGACATATCCAGAAACCAATAACTTCATGCTTAAGTTTCATCTTTTAATTGTGATAGAGGATTTTTGCTTCATTTTCTTTACTTTTAATTTTGGTTTACTTTAATTAGATGGTGACTATTCTTAAGGCAGTGTCTGGGGTAATTGGGGTAGGCTGTTAGAGACAATAAGTTTGGCTCAAAATAGAGCAGGGTTCAGAGCTTTTGTATATAGGGTCTCTATGAGTCATGAGCAACGTGATGGCACATAATAATAACAGTTTTCTCAGGGCAACTTTAGATCAATATATTTTCTTTTAACCCTTGTTTTAGTTACTGTGAAGGAACAGGAATATTGTTTGAACTTTGGCTTCAGAAGGCTTAAAATTTGTTAGACAGAAAATACATCAGGAAGGTACAGTATAAATTTTACCTGAAATAGTACAGATTATAAATGATACAGTAGCACAGTGAGAATTGTGGTTCAAAAGGAGACAGCTATGGATCGAAATAGATAATTATGAGAAAAGGGAATGGATGTATTAAAAAAAACTTTGAACAAACATAAGTGGATGAAATTTGAGAGCAAATTTTTCTCTAGAAAGAGAAAAAATTTTTGGTAAGTCACCAAAATAAGAAGGAAAAGAATAAACTGAGACTTCAAGAATTAAATTGAGGCTTGCTGAGACTGTAGAGTATGTGTTGAGAAAGAAAAAGAAATGAAGAGAAAGAAATAAAGAGGAAACAATGAAGAGAAAGAAGTGAAAGATTTCAGTATGAGCCACAGCTATTCAAACGTTGACAGAATATTTGTTTGAATTATCCTATGCTTTTTCCTGATTTTTCATTTTTCAATAAACATATTATTAACCTTGTAACTAAGGGGGAGAAAACCTTGAGTTCATAAATTAACAACAATTTTATTATTTTTTTTCTTCTTACAGTATCCAGTGATCACACTTGAGGTAAGATGAACTGTTAATTGAAGTGTTTTTTCCTCTCTTTCTCTCTTACCTTCTCTCTCTCTTTTTGGCTGTTTCCTCAACTTCAAATCAGAATGTAGTTTACAGAATAAGACTATTTAGATTGTCATATTATTATTTATTTTATGTAGCCATCCTCAAGGAGATAGGAAACTCCCCTTCAATAGGTCACATTAACACACATTAACATCTGTTAGATAATACTGGCAATTGGACAACTATCAATTATCATTTCTTTATTGAATGTATATAAATAAAAGCTTATTGCTTTATGTGTTTGGAATACCATTGAACTTATTCTTAACAAATGAAAGACTAACACAGAAAACACAGTAATGAAAATTAGCTTTTCTGAAATATAATATATATCACACTATGAAGCTATATGGACCCAGATGGAAGGGGGGAAAATAATACATTTGCCTCCATGCTTTGAATGAATAAATTTGAATCTTAACAACTGGGAAGTTACTTGATTAAATGTCCAAATGGAAAAATGCATCATGCAACAAAATATATGTTCTTCATTCTTAGGATCCCCATGGCAACCGTATTAAGCAGTGGGACAACGAGGAATCTTACAGAGGTCTTGTGCAACTCTCCTTCCAGTTGGCCTCAGAGCCTATCTTAGGCTGGTATCATATCACCGTGGAGACACTCTCGGGAGAGAAAACAGCTCAGTTCTTCTCTGTGGAAGAATATGGTAAATAGATCTTTTTTTTTAAAAAAAGGAATATAGTAAATAGTGTCTCTGAAGCTATAGTCTGTTAATGATGAGAAAAATAATAAAATCTCTCTTGTTTTGCAAAATCATAATTACTAAATGACACTGTGTGTATCTGTCTCTTTCTTTGTGTCTGACATTACTTCAATATTCCTCACTCACTTTGGCTGTTATCTCTTACTTCAGTATGGAATCCTCATGCTGCTTGCTGGTAATCTTGGGTCTCTATGTCATTCTTTCATAATATCTGGGATTTAGTTAATAAATATGACAGTTTTGGGAATGTTAACTCTATTTGTGACAACTTATGCTTGAAAAGATTTTTTTTTTAAAAAGAATAAATTTAACAATATTTCTTTTTTTTAAATTTTATTTTATTTCATTATTTTTGTGTGCGTGTAGCGTCAAATCAGATCTGACTGGTACAGGGAGATTACCCCTCCTTCCCCGGCAGAGCATCTGGTGGACTCGAACCTTGCACCTCTGGGACTGTAGTTGCAGCTTCTTGCCACTAGGCCACCTGAGCTCCCCTTAAAAATATTTCTGTAAAGAAATTCTCCATTTATACTATGTAATACTCATAGAAATTCTCCGGAGACATCATTATTATTCTCATTATACAGATATTATTGAGAACCACTTTCTCAAACCTGACAAGTTATGAATTTAGAATTCAAATCGGCATCCTTCTGCTCAGTTCTAAAATTTAGCTTTTACGTGCTGCTGTGTGCTCCTATATCATTGTTGATTAACAGCAAATTTGAGAAAGAGAAAACAACTGCTTTCTATGGATACATTTTTGCTAATAACATTTTTTCTTTTTATTTACAGTGTTACCCAGATTTCAAGTGTCTGTGGATGCACCTGAAAATATTTTAGTTGTGAACCCTGAATTACACGTTAATGTCTGTGCTTTGTAAGTTTAATACATTTTTTGTTAAGCTGTTGAACATATGATTTTGTGAGTATTGATCAAAACAGAACAAAAAACGACCATTGCTGGATTCTGATTTACAGCAATCCTATAGGACAGAATTGAACTACCTCATAGAGATTCCAAGAGTATGGTCTTTACAGAAGCAAATTGTCACACATTTTTCCAATGGAGCAACTCACAGAATCATAATCCAAAACTTTCAGATAGCACTGAAGCTTTTAATCACGGCATCACACCATTTTTAGACAGCAACTATGAAATTGAACTTAAAAATTCAATTGCACGAACCATATGTCAAGAGTTTGCTGACTATATGTGGCTAATGGCTAATGAATTGGTAAACACAGGCATATTTCATCACTCTAGAACCATTCTGTGGGAGCTTTCTGTTCCAATGTGCTTGCTCTGACTTCTTGATTCAATCTTCTTAAATTACATGGTTAATGTTCAAAACATATCCTCGGGAAAACTGCTGTATTAGTTAGAAGTTACCACAGGACAATACGTGTACTGAGGAGGGGATATGAAGACAGGCAGGAGCTTTATAAATACAGAAGAGCTCAGCTGGTATAGAGTAAGAGCAGCAGCCAGGGAGCTCGAGTTTACTTCTCCCTCCTCTCCTTATTCAGTTAAGAAAAATTAAAGGAAGCTGTGGAAGCAAAGATGGCAGCTAGAGTGTGAACATAAAGCCTTATTCCCACAAACCTGATGTGAAAACTGATCCTTTCCTTGATTGAGATCCAATCATTATATTGTTTTCCTTTACCTTAGGGTAATTTTTGTTCTTATTGTTATGTGCCATCGAGTTGTCTGTGACTCATAGTGGCCCTATATACAACTGTCCTAAACCCTGCTCTATCCTGTGCCAATCTTATTGTCTCTGATTACCCCTATTTCCATTATGCCAGTCACTGAATCAGAAGAAGAAAAAAAAACGTAGACTGTACACTATTTAGGTAAAATTACAGTTCTGCTTCCACCTTCACATTATAAGCAGTTTAATAGCATTTATCTAATCATATAAAACTAAAAGGTCATAAATATTTGTATATATTTAAAATATACCTCTCTGTTTGCATATATAGATACTTATATAACACCTAGTGTTACATAATGGGCTGCTAACTGAAAAGTTGGAAGTTTGAATCCTCTAGCTGCTCTGCTGAAGAAAAATGGGCTGTCTGTTCCAGTAAGGATGTATCCATACTGGAAATCCTGTGAAGGGTTACCATGAGTTTGAATCAACTCTATGAGAGTAGGGTCTTGGTTTTATGTATAGTTAGATACAGAGATGAAATAAATGTATCTTTAAATATAGAGAATAACCATAGTTTCCTGTAGCAAAGAAAAATGTTTAACCTGTTGATCAAAGGGAATTTTCATTTTTTTAACCAGTGTTTTACTACTTTACCAATAAAAACATATTTATATTCTTCTTTATAATTAAAAATATAAATAAAAATTAATATATATTCATAATGATGTTGTTGTTGTTATGTACCATCAAGTTTCTTGCAACTCATAGCTACCCTATGTACAATAGCCCTATTCTGTTCCAATTTCATCACCTCTAACATACCTAATCCCTCTCCTGTCTTCCTCTCCTATGCTGCCCCTTCCCCTCCAACCATGATATCCTTCTCCAAGGACTGGTCCCTCCTTCTGTGTGCCCAAAGTATGTGAAATAGAGCTTCAAAATATTTACATCCATGGAACAACTTGGTTTCACCCTCTCCAAGACAGATTGAAAGCATAGAAAATCTAAAAGAAGCAATGTAAATATTATGCTAAGAAATGAAATAGCTTATTTAAGTTTTGAAAACGCTTTTTAAGTTAATATTAGATTTGTTTACATTATGTTTCAATGGTACAAGTATTTGACTTCTACAAATAGCTTGTTTTAGGCTGGTTTTTGTTTGGTTGGTTTTTATGTCTTTTAAATTTTGTTTGTTTCAATTAAAATCTGTCTTTACTTACCACATTTACCTCAATTATAATCAGTCCCATTGTCTTAGATTACCTCACGAAATGAAACTTAAGGTAATATTTAAATGAAGTTTTAGGGGTAAATTCAGCCACTAATGAACATTTTCAAAACAGTCTAGGTAAAATACTAATGGTGTTGGATTTTGTAATTTTACTACTGTCATTTTCTTCCATTAGCTATACCTTTGAAGGTCCAGTGCCAGGGAGAGTTCAACTGAGTGTGTGCAGGCAAGCTCCTTATTCTTACAGTATTTGCAGATTTTCTTTAAATTCACTGTGCCAAAATTATACCTTTCAGGTAAGATGTGTATCTACTATTTCATAAGTAGATTTGAATGAATCAGTGTCACCTTTCATCTACTTTTATTTCTCATTGTTTCCCTTTGCACACTGTAATGTTATATTTTTCTTTATATCCCTATTCCCATCATTAAATTTTCTCATTTTCTTTCTTATTGCTAACTTTTAAAATTTTCTTGTAATTGACAAAAGTAAATCACAGTGTTCTAAAGCTCAGTTGTAAATTCAATTCTTTATTAAAATTAAATTTGGTTCTGGAGTGAGACCATAATTTTAGAGTATTAGAAACATTTGTACATTGCTTCATTTGGACTTTGTGAATTTGATTGGGAGACATGAAAATTTTCATGTCAGTTCAAGATTATTAAATAAGTAGTTCTTTTTCTCTTACTCTGTTCCTGTTGATAACAAAAGTAACAAGGCATTCTATTTCTCTTTATCAATATACCTATCTATTTCTCTATCTATACATAAATGTATTATTGTTAGGTGCTATTGAGTTGAGTATAGCTCATAGTGACCTCATGAACAAGAGATCTGAACCCTTATCCTGCGCCATCCACACAATCTCTGACTCACTTAAGCTCATTGCTGCAATCACTGTGTCATTCATATACGTGTGTGTGTGTGTGTGTGTGTGTGTGTGTGTGTGTATAGTGTATATATATAGTTGGAAACTCTAAAAATTGGCTTTTCTAGCTATATTGTTACCCTCCATTGGGTGAGGTAATGGTCTCCAGCTACCTTAACTGTGGGCACATGGTCTTACAAATCATGAACAGCTATAGGACCAATATAAAAGATATAGAGTTTTCCCACAATATGAAGCAACCTGGTGATGGTGGTGGAAAGAGGGTAGAGACTGTGACACTGCTGTGAAGAGACTGTGGCAAGATGTAACAAGAAGAATCTTGCATTTATGCTTCAGTTAAAGGTTTGCTTGATGTATGATTGAAGGAAAAGCTGACCTATAACCTCTCTTAGATAAAGTTTGCTGAATGATTGAGGAAATCAGTTGTTTTCATCTGTGCTGCTGAACTGAACCTGGACTGTCACTAATTGAGAAATCCTGTCTTGCTAATCCAGCTTGACATTACTGAAGTAAACAAGGACTTTCATTGTGTGATATTCTTTACCTCCCCCACTCTCCAACCTAATTTCCTAATAAACCCCAAAACTATGAGTAAAGTCTGTGAGTTAACAACAAACTAATGGACCAAATGACTTAGAAATAGGTGCAAGAGCATGTGGAACGGTGTGTCTGACCAAACATCTATTTGTTTGGAACTATGAATATTATTGATGAGGACAGTTCTTTATGAAGCAGGCTGAAGTCAGAATCAGCCATGCTCATTGGGCATCAGTTCCTTTTGCAATATATCAGAGGTCTTAACTACTAGCATGAGAGTTTATTTTTCAGATTTAAAGTGGAAAGGAATTTCTTGAAAGAGCTCACCTTTCAGTAAATGGACACAAGAAGAGTGAACAAGAATGTAACAAGGACTCCAGTCACAGTTTTGTCAGAGTCTGACTGACTCCTATTCAGCTGTCATTTGCCTCCACATTGTTTTTGAGTGCTGTTGTGTTGAAACCAACGCATATTTGACCCCTTAGTGGGTTTTCAGAGACAGATAATTACAGGGTTTTCAGAGACAGACAATTACAAAGAAGGAGATTGATTGTCCATCTTTCCCCTGTGGAACAGCTGTTGGATTCAAACCACATGCCTTTAGATTGGCAACCCAACTCCCTAGGGTATCAGTTTCTCTAATATTTCTATTGGGTATACAATGCTATCACCATTAATTATTATTTAATTAGAGGATGGATTAATAGGTTGAAGCAAAGGGAGCTTAAGTATGTTGTTCAAGATTATATGTTCACTAGTGGCAAGAAGCTGCACTGCAATCCCAGAGGCAAGCGGTTCGAATCCACCAGATGCTCTACTGGAGAGGGAGGGGCAATCTTCTCCTGTACCAGTCAGATCTGATTTGACGGTACACACACACAAAATAAAAAAAAAATTTAAATAAATATTATATATTCACATTATTAGTAGGATTTTATTGTTACTTTTCAAGGAATACAAATTTCATTTTTTTGTCCAGCAAATAATTGAAGTCCTTTAATTTGCAAGCATTATTGTTTATGAGTGAGAGAGTTGAACATGAGCAGACAGACTTAACTCCTGTGTTCACAGAGCTTGTACGTTATGAAACAACCATTATTTTTAAAAAACACACACTGGAAGAGGAAAAACTAACCAATATAAGCTAAGTACACAAAGTCATTAATTCTGTAATGGATTATCAAAGGTTATAAAATACAGATTCCCCTCCCTCCAGGAGCTTTGAGAGGTGCATATTTAGAATACATATTGGCAATTATAGCTGAGTATAGACTAAACAATGCACCCAATCATTTATTTTCAAATCTACGGAAAGTGGTTCTGTGTTTTGAGGCAGTTCCAGATATGTTCTAGAAAGGCTGTAAAATAGTCATGCCATCTAGCATCCTTAGGTCTCAGTTTCTTCAGAGTTCATAAAAAATGGAGGTGTTTCTCAAGAACTCAATTTTCCTCTAGAATAAAATAGTCTATGAACCAACTGGCACATTTTATGATGATACTAAATCTCTTTGTCAATTCTCTAATTCTCTGTTTAATTTTATTTATTAATTATGAAGTTTTAAAATTTTTACTTCAAGATTTTACCTGGACATAGATATTAACAAAAATGAAAAAGAAAACAATAATCTTCCTATCCCACCCCCACAGAAATACTCACTGCCTTCAAGTTAAGTTTTATTCAAAACAACCCTGTAAGACAGGATAACTGCTCAAAAGACTTCCAAAACTGTTGTTGTTGTTGTTATGTGCCGTCAAGTCACTTGTGACTCATAGTGACTCTATGTACAACAGTCCTAAACCTTGCTCTATCCTGTGCCAGTCGCACTGCCTCTGACACACCCATCCCGATCACCCCAGTCACTGAATCAATCCACCTCATAAAGGGCCTTCCCCTCCTGCGCTGTCCCTCCACCCTCCCAAGCATGATGTCCCTCTCCAAGGACCTTTCCCTCCTTACAACATGTCCAAAATATGTCAGACGAAGTCCCGGAATCCTTGCCTCAAAGGAGCAGCCTGGTTTAACCCTCTCCAGGATGAATCTGTTTGTTTTCTTGTCAGTCCATAGTACATTCAATACTCTTCTCCAACACCACAGATAAAAGGCATCAATTCTCCTTCTATGCTCCCTAGTCATTGTCCAACTCTCTGATGCATAACAAGTGATTGCAAAGACCATGGCCTGTATCAGATGCACCTTAGTCTCCAGAGTGACACCATTGCTCTTCAGCACTTTGGAAAGATCCTTAACAGCAAACTTTCCCATCACAATATGTTTTTTTAATTTGAAACTTAGTTTTACCCTCTCCAAGACAGACCAGTTTTTTTCTTGGGGTCCATGATATGTTCAAGGCTCTTCTCTAGTGCCACAACTCAAATGCATCGATTCTTTTATCATTCTTAGTCATTGTCCAGCTCTCTGATGCATAGCAAGTAATTGTGAAGACCATTGTTTGCATTAGGCACACCTTAGTCTCTAGACTGACATCCTTGCTTTTCAGTACTCTGGAACGGTCCCTGACAGCAGATTAGGCAAATACAAAATATTTATCATTTAAAACTATAAAATAAGGTATTATTTTAACAAATTCAAGTTTAGTTAAGATAGCTTTCTTAAAGTTTTCCAGAGGTTACATATTTCACCTTAACAACAACAACATATTTCACCTAAAATTTATATTTCTTACATTCCTTTTTAAATGTAACCTTTACTGTTATTTTTATTAACTTTTCAGTTGGGGAAAGATGGCTGTGCCTCCTATATTATTAATACAAATACTTTTGAGTTATATCGAGAAGGATATAGGAATTACCTAGAATTGCACGCTCTTGTTACAGAGGAAGGAACAGGTAAGGTCTCAAAGCAGACACACCCTCATAGGCATTGTTTTTCAGTTTGAATTGCCCTTTGGCGGCCAGCTACACAATATTTAACATAGTCATTGTTTTCCAGAGTTTGTTATCAGTTCCTCAGATCCAAACAAACTCCATACTCCTTGCTGTCAGTGGAAACTATCTTATTGCTAACCCTCTGGCAGATTTTAAGACTCTGTAAATTTCACAGGAATGGATTGCCCATCTTTCTTCCACAGAGCAGCTTGTGGGTTTAAATCACTTACATTTGAGTTGGCCGTGCAACTCCTTACCCTCTAGGACACCAGTGCTCCTTTCAGATAAAAAATCCTGAACGTATCTTACTCCAACTAAAATATATTTGGAGGATGATGAAACATATTTGTTATATATACAAATACTCACATGCCATAATTATATATGTAAAAATGTTAAATTGAAGCATATTCTTTTTACACTTTAACCAGGCAGAGAGCAAAGGAATGTTGTCAATAAGTAACTACTTACAAATAATGAAAAATCAGTAGCGTGATTATTTCTTCAAGAATGAATGATAAATGGTAACTAGATCATTAATGAGGGGGAAAAGAAACGAGAACTGTAGTTGAAAATGACAGGCTTTTTGCATTTCTATCTTTGTTAACTTTGTTTTAGTAAACTCATCTCAGAAAGCATCTCCATATTTGACTTGCTTAGAAAGAGAAATTTTTAAAAGAATGGTTGGCTTTTGTGTCAGTAATACATCACCATTATTTATTATTATTATTATTATTATTTTCTGTAACTCTGGCTATTTGTTGATATTTTCTTTTTGATAAAACTTGCCTGCAGGTGTACAACTTACAAACTACAAGTACATAAAGATAGATTCAGCAATGGTGAAGATTCAGTTTGAGAACATGGATATGGTCTACAAACAAGGAATTCCTTATGTTGGCCAGGTAAAAGAAACAATAATTTCTTTACATGTGCATCATTCATTCACCTTTGTCCATTAATTCATTTAATTCAATAGCTACTTGTGGAGAAGTTATTTAGGATTATCTCTACTAAATATCACAGAGTTATTTACATTGTAAATTGTCAAAGGTTTACTCATGTTTATATAATTTTATTTATTGTCTGGAGACCAATACTCTCCTGTTGTTGTTATTGTGTACTGTTGAGTCAGAATCCACTCATAGGTAACCCTCCAGTGGGTTTCCAGAGGCAGTAAATCACACAAGAAGTGGTTGCTCATTTTTCTCCTGTGGAGCAGCTAGTGAATTCAAACCATGTACCTTTGTATTGGCAGCACAATTCTTTATCACTAAACCACAAGAGCTCCCTTAATACTCTCTTAGAAAACAGTATTTTGGCTCTTAGCATTGCTGGATGATTAAATGGGGCCTACTCCCCTTTTAGAGGGTAATTAGCTTTATTTAATATTAGCTGATTTAATCACATGGAAATATATATTGATGACATCAAGACTAGTATTTGACTAAATAACTGAGTACTGTTGACTAACCATGTGGATACATAAAATTAACCATCACAGCATTTTCTTTTTACTGTGGTCTTAGATGTTGCTGAGGGAGCTCTGGAGGCATACTCCATAGGGAATTGCCCTGCTACCTCAAGGCCAAACTTCTCTTCCTCCCCTGTGGTTTACATCCTCAGAAACCAAATAGAAAGTTAGCTATGAGTCCATTTCTACTTTTTAGCAATGGCTTGGAGCTGGAGTTCGTAATTATTGCTAAATAGTTAATTCTTAATGGTTTCAAACTAACAGACATTATGCGAGGTTAAAGAGAGACTTTTTTCAGATTATTATTCTAGGAACTATTAATTTTTTTGAAAATTACCACAGTATTTTAGAAAAAGAATTACCAGTTTTGTATTTCTTTTTAAATTATTTTTGTTTGCGTGTACCGTCAAATCAGATCTGACTGGTACAGGAGGAGATTGCCCCTCCTTCCCCGGCAGAGCATCTGGTGCATTCGAACCGTGCACCTCTGGGATTGTAGTTGCAGCTTCTTGCCACTAGGCCACCAGAGCTCCCCCAGTTTTGTATTTAAAAAAATTTATTTGATGCCAGTTTGGAGGAATAAAAGACAATGGCAACATAGGAGAGAAATTGGATGGATTATTAGCTTGTATCAGAAATGAAAAAAAAGTTGAGAAATTGACAAGAGGCCGTAACAATGGAAATAAATATGATTAGTTAGCGACAGATAATGTTTAAAAGATATAACATGTATGGCGTGTTTATCAATTATCCAAAATGTATGTGGAGGAAGAAGAGTTTATGACATATCTAGATAATTAACTTGAGTAATTTAAAAAATAGATGGGCCCTGAGATAAGAAAGAAAGGGATATTTATGCAGAACCATAAATACTTGTTTTCTAGACTTCAGTGGAATTTTTACTGTAAAAATATTCAAGATACAGGAAACATATGGGCCTGCGTTACAAAAGATTTTTATGAGTATGAAAAAAATGTGAAACTTGGGTTTATCAACATGCTGAATCTGCCATTTGCTTGCAAGGAGTGATGAAGCCACTGGTCAATGCATGCACTGCCTGGAAAGAGTAGTTCCAGGGAGAAAACCTTGACAGGCACCATCAGAATCGACTCATAAGTTCATCAAATGCTTCTGAAATTTGCTTTCCTCCTCCTACACAGATCAAATTGCTTCATCCGGATAACACTCCCGTGCCACATGAAATCATCCAGCTGCACCTAGAGGACAAAATTGTGGGCAACTACACCACAGATATCAGCGGCACTGCTCACTTTTTCTTGGACACGTCTAAGATTACATCTCCAAATATCACATTACGAGTAAGTTAGTCAAAGAAAAACAAAACTAAAACCACTGTGTTAGACTACTTAAGGTTTCAGTCTATGTTAAATGAGATTTATGGAACAGATTTGGAAATATAAATCTTTTTATCAATGCATTTTTTTTTGCAAAATAGTTAAATGTTAAGAAAATAGAACTCACAGAAAATAAAAAATTGTTAAAAGACAGATTTAAACATATTTACAAGTGTGGAGGAGAACAAACTAAGTTAATATAAATCAGCACCTCACTTTGATTGTGAAACTAGAAAGGCAATTAATTTCATAGAAGGAAGTATCTGGGAAACCCTGAAACCTATTGCCATAGTCAAAGATGAAGAATTTTCTAGATATGTTCAAGGGAATAATAGCTTACTCTCTTTAATAATTAAACATTGATACATCCCAAGCATTCTAAAAGGTTCTCTTCAGACTTCTATGTTGATAATGACAGATAGTTGCGGCTAGGACCATCATTTTGTCAGTTTTGTAAAAACTTTGCCATCTTTCATGAAAATTCTGTACTATGCATTTAGTGGCAAAAGCAACTCTGAACTTCTTAGCAACAAAGCAAAACCTGTGTATGTTGAGTTGATGCAGACTCCTGACAATCTATGTTTTAAATGTTCTTTTTAACTGTTCCCTAGATTTTCTTGGCTGTGATATTTCGGTAAGCTGATGGCCAGGCCTTTTATGGCATTATTTGAATAGTCAATCTCTAAGTTAGTTTGTTAGCACAAACTGCACTACCCATGGGTTTTCATGCCTTTATAGGTTCCTCATATTATAGTGGGAGAGAGATGCTAATGAATCAAGATGTACACTGAGTTATTTTTAAAAATCACAGTTACCATTAAGTTACTTCTTATTCTTGATTACCAAATATGTTGCTAATAAGAAAATTGTAGAATATATTATTTTTAGAGTTATAGACTAGATTTTAGAGAAATATTATCAAGTCAGGTCTTGACTAGAAAGAGCAAAGCTAAAATACATTTTAGCATTTACTGGAGTATAACTGAAAAATATAGGACTATATTTTACTTCCTGAAATTTTGCCCTGAAATTTTCATATTGAATTAGAACATGGCAATAAACTATCTTAGGAGAATCTTTTATTTTTCCTTTTCTCTTTATCCTAAAATATCTATAATTTGGTGCTTTATGTAGGCAACTTATAAGAACAATGAAAACTGTGAGATTTATGGATGGATATTGCCCTATTACCCTCAGTCAGAGTATTTAGTGCAACGATTTTACTCCAAGACTAATAGCTTCTTAAAGATTGCCCCAGAGATGGAAGAACTGAGATGCAACCAGCAGAAGCAAGTGATAGTGCACTATCTCCTCAATATGGAAGACTATGAAGACAAAACTTACGCAGTGACTTTCAATTATGTGGTATGTATTGAAGATATTCGACAACAAAAATCAAGTCTTAACTATCAAACTGATAAACTCATTTTATCTTTAAACTGTGGTTGAGTTAAAAATAAATACAAAATTTTGTATGTTTACTTGGAAAAATTACATTTCTATTTTAAAAATGAGGTGACAAGACAAGCCAGCATGCCCTTGTCCACTTCATCTTTCTCATCACTCTTACTTTATAGTCACCTACTTCCTTCCATTTAGACACATCAGGGATCACTTCATAGTTCTGACACTCACTAGCTACATGGGACTTTTTGAAAGCCACATATTGTTCATTGTTGTTCTTAGTTACAAACAAATTAACTCCCGTGCATAATGATCTTATATATGACAAAACAAAACAATACACCCTGCCCAGCTTCAGCTCCAAAATCTTTGCTCTGGTGTAGTTATAGGGTCACTCCATCTACCTGAAGGTTTTTCCATTTCTTCAGACCCCTAATAAGGTGGATTGACACAGTGAATGAAACAATGGGCATATCTGAGATCATGAGGATGCTATGGCACAAGGCAAAGTTCAGATCTGTTGTTCATGGGGTCACTATGAGTCATAGATAACTTGATAGCACCTTAGTAAGAACAAACACTTTACCAAGCATGATGTCCTTCTGTACCAATAATATTATTGTCTAGAGAACACTGATATCATAGAAAATTGTGCTGTTAACCCAAAATTAGTACCACTCAAGAGGTTCAAATTCACAACAAACTTCTCAGGACAAAGTTGGACAATCTCCTCATGAGCAACTTAAAGCCTCTGGAAATCTACTGGAGGGTCAGCTATGAATCAACTATTACTGGATGTTAAGTTAGCAGACTTAAGGAAGAGATCAGAGAGAATGAGAGAAAGCTTAATGCAGCTTTATTAAGGGGGCAGGGGACAGTGGAGATCTCCATTCTGAGTTCATCATTCTGGAGAGACAGAATGGGAAAGTCACACTGTGAACATATTTTTATAACAGAAGTCTTTAGGGAGGGACATTCCACTCTGATTCATGATCCACCTGCTAGCTCAGCCAGACAGGCAAGGCCGGTTGCTCTTCTTATCAGTAGCAGGCCTTGTTTGCTCTTCTTATCAGTAGCAGGCCTTGTTTGCTCTTCTTATCAGCATTTGAATTCTACATTTTTTTATCCTTCTCTTTAACCTCCTTTGTCCAGACTTAACACTGGATAGTAATGGGGTTCTTTTAGTTTTTGAGTCATAGGATTGTTAAAAGATTTAAATACAATAATCCTTTGATCAATGGCATATGAAAGATATTTTGTTGTTGTTGTTGTTAATTGCCTTAGAGTTGAGCATAACTCATAGTGATCCTATGAACAAAAGGCTTGAGACCCCTCTATAACCATTGACATTTATCAAAGTTCATAGAGTTTCTGGAGGCATTTTGTTGGAAGTGGATGCCACTCTGCCTTCCAATGAAAGGTATTATTTACTTTATTCTAATGGATTATTGTTATTCTACATTGTCTGAATGGATATTTAATCCTCCATTAAGATTAATAAGGATCATATACAAGAAGCAAAATCAGGAGAGAAAACATAAAATTGTGATGACAGAAGTACAACAACAAAACACATATAATCATTAGGGTGATTCAGAAATCAATGAATGATTGTCTAAGGAGAGTTTAGGACAGTGATTCTCAAAGTAGGTTTGCCAGATCAGCAGTATTAGCATCAAACAGGAACTTGTTAGAAATGGAAATGGTTCAGACTCCACCCTAAACTAGTAAATCAGAAACCTTAGGGGTGGGGCTGAGAAATCTCATTTGGCAAAAGTCATCAGTTCCTCTGAGTCCTGTGATTCTGATGCACAGTAAAGTTTGAGATTGACTAGTTTAGGGCAAAGTACATGAAGAAAAAGATGTCTAAACAGTGTTTTATAGGAAAATAGGAGTTACCATATTTGATTGAAATTAAGGTTTCTTTTTTTCTTTTGAGAGGTTAGAAACATGTTGTTTTTCGAGATATGTAGACATGAAGCATGAAAATAACATAATTCTGTTTTATAGAATGAAAACAACTCCCTATTTTTCAAATTTAGAATATTGGAAGAATTTTAAACATGTTTTTAATCCTACATACAAAATCATCAAGATGTAAAAATATATCAGATTATCAGAAAAATGTATCCATAACTCCATCAAAGTCTTTGGTTAAAAAAAACAAAACACCCAATCAAAAAATGACAAAAAACTAAACCTAACCCAAAAATAAAAAATATTATTGCTGGAGATTCACAGTATAGCATGATATGGACTATGATATTAAATTAGGAGTTGTTGTTATGTGCTGTAAAGTTGCTTGCAACTTATAGCGACCCTATGCACAAGAACCCTAAACCCTGCTCTATTCTGTGCCAACGTCACTGCCTCCAGCACATTTATTTCCACCACCCCAATCACAGAACCAATCCATCTCATTGAGGGTCTTCCTCTCCTGTTTGTCCCTCCACTCTCTCAAACATGATGTCCCTCTCCAAGGATGAGTCCCTCCTTGCAACATGCCCAAACTATGTCAGACAAAGCTTCAGAATCCTTGGCTCCAAGGAGCATTCTGGCTTCACCTTCTCCAGGACAAACCTGTTTTTTCTCCTAGCAGTCCACGGTATATTCAACACTCTTCCCCAGCACCACAGCTCAAAGGCATCATTTCTAGGTCATTTAAATTGAGCCATAATTTTCTGGGAATAGTTTTAGGAAATGAAAGAGGAGACTCAGAAGCTTGAATAGTGGCTTTTAAATGCTTACTCTTCATCATTTATCTCTTACCCACTCGATACTTCCCTTGATCCCATGGGTAATTCAGTCTCTTATATATTCTTTCATGATGACCATAATGAACTTTGTCAATGTGAACGTTCTCTCTACTATTCTGTAATACATGTAATAGGATGTGAGATCAAGAACTGTGTTCTGTTTTTTTACCATTGTGTACTTTCACTTGGCATGTGCATACCACACAGAAAATCTTCAGTATAATGTTTTAGAGTAAATAAATGGAGGTAGATTAAATTTAATTGTTAGACTTTTAAGAGGCAGCATTACTGTGCACACTTGGGCAAACACCTCTACCTGATGTTGTTTGCTCATCTATTATCATAATTCCTGTCTTATTGCTTTAAAAATTCAAGGAGTTAATATACATAAGACTTAGAAAAGTGCCTAAAAGACTCAATAAATAAAAGGAGTCTTAGCACTTTTGCTACTGTTCTAGCACCATATATAATAGCATGCAATTCGTAGAAGCTCCTTTATTTTTAAAAATCTATTAATTATCCAATCTGGTACCCCAGAAGTTTAAAGCAATTTAGAATTTATTGAAATAATGACGAGAGTAGGATCTTCAGCTCTAGCAATTATAAGTTATATACTTTCATGGTTGGTTTCCCATTTTCTCCAAAACTCAGCATATTTTTAATAGTATTTAGAAAT